TTGAACCACCAGCCTTCTGGTTAGCAGTCAAATGCCTTAGGCACTACACCACCAATATTATATGAGTCCACTATTATAAAAAGTCATGGAAAGGTTTACACATAGAAAGAATCTTTCTTGTTGGTTGCCATGTATAGAAGGGGAGGAGAGGGAAAATGGCTAGCTAGGTAAGAGCCAGGTATTGATTTAGGTGAAGGAAAAGGCTATATACTGAAAGCAGGTGGACAGCACAATATCACTAAGGAAAGGGAAGATATGGAGAGTGCACAAGAGGTACAGATAACAAAGATAAATATTATTACATACATTATTCAGCATTGTCAGTAATAACAAGCATTAATCTATGGGTAAGGAGCTCTGGTGGCACAGGGTCTAAGGCATTTGTCTGCTAACCAGAAGGCTGGCAGTTCAAACCCACCAGCCACTCCATGGAAGGAAGACTAGGGAATCTACTCCTGTAAAGATTTACTGTCTTGGACACCCAATGGGGGTCACTATGAATCAGAATTGACTCGCTGGCAGGGGGCAGGCACATAGGCAAATGGGCAAGATAATCATACATAGGCGGGCAAATGGGCATATGCTCAAGACCATATATAGGTCTGACAGATCATATTTCTACACACATATTAGTATGTGCTATAAAAACGTCCACATATGTAATAGAGCTAACAGGGGGCCAAATTATAATAACTTCTTAGCCACAAAAATGTACAGAGAGTGGGTGTGGGGAGTTTCCAGTAAGATGGTGGAATAAGAAGACAAACTACACACACCCTCTTCAACAAAGAAAAGGGGAACCAATTAACACAGATACAGAGGATAATCCTGGTACCCTAAGCTTTGAAAGGAAGGATATAGGAGGATATAAAAGTAGACTAAACTCCAACTAGTAGAAGAACCTGCATGAAAACACCAAAAAAGGAGACATACAGAGCTGCGGTCTGTCAGTGATCCTGATGGCACAGACGGCTTGGATATTGCGAAGTGGGGTTAGAACCTAAGAATTAACCTAAAAATCAGTCCTGCTATCCAGGGGCTGCATGGAGGACCGCACTGGTGGCCGGTGAATAAAAGGGGAAACAGTGAAGAGGGAGATGGGGTGAGCTGTGGACTTTTGCCTGTCCAGAAGATGTAGCCATTTTGAATGTTTACAAGCTGTTTGACAATTTTGGATATTTAAAACGACAGTGTTCTCTCATAATAGGCTCCACCTGCCAGGAACCGCAAGGACATTCCAGACACTCATGACTAGAAAGGCGCGATATTTCCCTTGTTACTCTTATACCCCATACTCTCTTGAACGGAGGTGCAGCCATCTCTCACTCCCACCCATTTTCTGGGCCAGCAGGAATTCCATCCCAGTCTGTGTGCTCAGCCAGAGCCTGGGTGCCCTGCCCTGCCTTGCCCTGATTTTTTTTTTTTTTTTT